TATTAATAAATGAGGGCCTTCCAGGGAATATCCATTCCACCATGCTACATCCCAAATAGCCTTTATTCTGGGGATAAAGAGACGTAGCAAGGATCTCAACCACCCCTCCAACCTCCCATCCTCTCCAGTCCCAGTAAGAGGCAAGTCAGTTTTATCTTTGGGACCCAAGATGGAATAAAGGAGAAATGTCTCCAAGTTCCTAGACAGTGAGTCTAGCTAGGGTGAGGAAGTCATGAACCCACAGAGAGAGACTTAAGAGTTTCATATAGGAAATTATATGAGAAAAGTACCAATCCTAGGCACTAAGTTCCCACACACAGACTTGAGGTAGGAACAGATTTTAGGAGGCTGAAACCTAAACAACAGTTTTGCCAAACAAAATTATGGGATCACAAGATTTAGAGCTAGGAGTAACTTCAAAAATTACCCAATGGCGGCACCTAGGTGGCACAGTGGATACAGCACCAGCCCTGGATTCAAGAGGACCTGAGGTCAAATGTGGCCTCAGACACATGAACACTCACTAGTTGTGTGACTCGGGGCAACTCAACCCCAACTGCCTCACAACAAAACAAAACAAAACAAAAAATTATCTAATGCAACTTTGTAACTTTAAAAAAGAAACTGAGGGCCAGAGAGGTGCCCAACATTACACAGCTACTAAGTGGCAGAGACTGAAGCCAGTTTTTCTCAGTCTATTTAGAGAGAACAGGAAGTGAAACAGAAAATGAATAAAAGACCTAGAAGAAGAAAGCCTTACTAGAAAGGAAAAATAAAGAGTATTACCTAGGTCACTAGAGATAGCATGGTATTTGTTTCCAAGACTCCTGTAAACCTCCCTTTTATTATTGTGTGTCCTCAGTACATAGGTGTAGTAATAAGAAATTCTTTTGAAAAAATGTATTACAGTAGTACACGACTAATGTGAAAATAGGTTCAATATGAATTTATATGTAGAGCTTATATCAGATTGCACACCATCTTGGGGTGGGAGGAGGGGAGAGAAGGGGAGAAAATTTGGAACTCAAAATCTTATGGAAGTGAATGTTGAAAACTAAAAAGAAATAATTTAAAAAAAAGAATAATCAAATTGAAAAAGAGGGCTGAATCCAAATAAGAATATGAAATTTGCTTTTTGAATAGTTTTCTCCTTGAAAAATGTTTAAAAAATATTGATCTTTCTGAGTCAGCAGCTAACACATTCAAGAATGATTAAGGGCTAGTTAATCCATGTAAATGACAAATTACCCTGAAAATAAAAGTTTATGTTTAGGTCATCAAAAAAAATAATAAAATAAAAAAATGTATTACAGAAGGTTTGGGTGCTATTTCTAGAAACAGGGTAAAGGAGAAAGGGAAACAATAACCACCTTCTCTCCCAAATCCTACTCTGGACAACAGGGAATCCAGTTCAGTGAAGTGGCAATAACAATGAAAAATGCAAAGGATGCCAGTAAGCCAAGTCCTAGGGCTTTGGTGCACTTTGAGCAAACAATAGCCAGGAAATCAGCCAGTACAAAACTACTGACCAGAATACTGAAAATCACTTACTCCTCACCATCTGCCAGATCAGATGTTAAAAAAGTGAGGTGGGACAGGGACAGACAGAAATTTCACCTCTTTTGCAATTTTGCCTTTACTCTGATGGCCACAATGAAAATTCTCTTCTGGGTCAATTTTGGTGCATATGTCATAGATTGAGTTCTGTTCTAGGCCCAACTTTATGTAACTGGGCTGCATAAAGATAGATTGAAGACCCATGCCAATCTTTGCACAGTCCCGAGTTACAGAAATGTATGTAAATGTAATGAAGTCCCTACCCTGTTCAGTAGCAACATTATGAGGAGGAAATCTGGTACCCTATGGGGAGAAACAAAATGAAACAGGACAGAGTCTCTCCCTGTAAATACTGATTAATCTAAGGTGATTCAGGAGCACAATGCCTATTTCAACGGAACTTTAAAAAGTCAAAACTGTAGAGAGATAACATAGCTCAAAAAGTAATCTTTGGAATCAAAAAAACCCTGTTTCAAAATTTTGGCCTCAGCTATTTACTCTCTGTATGACCTTTGTGCAAATCCACAATCTGCGCCTGAGTTTCCACAAGTATAAAATGAGAGGGATGGATTAAATTGAGTCGTAAAACCCTGTCTGGCTCTAGCAATTATAATCCAGAAGTCCTTGAGATAAAGAGTTGAGGAATGCAGAGCCTGAAGGGACCTCAGAGATCACCTAGAATTGGGGTAGCAATCCTTTCTCATATGACATGGTCAGCCAATTTCTGATTGAAGATTTCCAGACTACTTTGTTACGAAGGCCCTTCCTCTTTGGGGCAGCTCTAAAGATTAGGAACTCATATCAAGACAAAATTTGTCAAGTTGGAAATTCTACCTACTGTACCTATCCCTGTCTTCTGGGGACACTGAAAACAAGTTCAGCACCTCTTCAAAGTTACAGCCTTCCAAATACTTCAAGATAGCCTTTAAAATCTTTGGCTCTAGGCAAAGGACCCCAGTTCCAAAATAAAATATTTTTTAAAAAAGACCCCAGTTCCTTCAGTTAATCCTTTTATGCATAATCTCAAGTCTTTTCACCATCCTGGTCACCCTCTTCTGGAAGCACTCCAATTTGACAATGTTTTGCCTAAAACTGGGCCCTAGCTTGGAATATAATTCTCTAGATGAGGTCTAAGGGCAGAGTACACTGGAATAAATGAAAAAGTATTTATTAAGCACTATGTACCAGGCACAGTGCAAAGTGCTGGAATTACAAATACAAGAGACAGCCCCTGCCCTCAAGGAATTTACATTCCAGTAGAGGAAAATAACACAGCTCTGGGAAGAGGTGGCTAGGAAAGAGTGAAGTCACAGTGAGGATGAGTGAAGATGTAAGGAAATCAAATGATGTACCCTAGACCCGGACGCCATGCTTCTAATGAAATACTGTATATTTGTAAAGAACTGTGCAAATCTTAAAAAGTGCTACAGAAATGTCAGCTATTATTATTACTGACATAATCTAAACGTGAATTTCACCCATTTTTTTAAAGTCCTACTCTGATGCCTCAGTATGGAATGAACGTGACTGAGTTCTAAATTAACAAGCATTTTAAAAACATTCTATGTACTGGGCTACAAATACTTTACAGCGTGTCCTTTAAGTCTTAGTGCAGTTTAAGCTTTAACAGTTTAAACTGCACTAAAACTTCAAGGACACCCTGTATGAGTAAGTCCCTTTCCCTACGGAGTTTCCATGTAGACCATCAGCTGAACATAACAGAATGTTAACTTGAAGAAAGCAGTTGCAATTTCCTTTTTCTATCCTCAGTATTTATTATGGCTCCTAGCACATACTGGCACTTAATAAATGCTTACTGAATGAATCTATGTTTTCATTCAGGTCACTGGTAAGCATGTTAAATAGAAAAGAGCCAAGGACAGAGCTTTGAAATGAAAGATTACCCTTCTGGGAAAATTATGAAAATGGGGGAAGGTATTATAAGCTCCCAGAGATGCCCTGTATGGGAACAGCATAAGGTTACTCTTTCTTCTGGGGGCTGGTCATAAGCCAGGGCTAATGAAACAATGAAATGACTGAGGACAATGAAGCTCTCTATGGGGGTGCCTAATCAAAACGAAATCCACCTAAACACAAATTCAGGAAGTCACCCATTCTGTCTCCTCTCAGCTTGACCAACTTAAACACCACTAACTAGTTTTGGGGATAGATATCATGATGTATGGGAGGCTCATAAAGAAATGCATATTAGTTCATATGATATTTACTGAATTTATAGTCTTGTTTTCATGCTAAATTTTCCCCAAGAGTAGGTGTTGCAGGGACAATATCCAAAAGCCCCTTTCCCTATCCCCACTCTTTACCTCTCATGCAAGTTGATATAGTTTTTCCTTAAGACACTGAAACTGTGTTTGATATCTGATTGGCTTAGGAGACTAAGGCTTGGACTCTCTCTCCCCTTTCCTGTTTAGTAAAGCCAAAGATATAAAGAGTACTTTGAGAATGTAGAGAAAGGAAGACTATTCAGTACCATTAGTTCTGATAGCAGATGCAAAAAAGTGTTAAGTGATGACCATTTTGCATGAGACAGCATGGTAAGATTAAAAATGTTTACCCAGCTCACACGTGTTAAGCTCACAAGGTAGAGTGAATTATCTGCTGAATGTAATTGTTGGATTAAGCTCAGTTTTGGGCAAGTTTAGTTTTTAAATACAGGTAAAACAAATAAAGGCCCCCAAATAGCTAAAGGGAATCAATGATAAGTACCCAAAAAACCCCCAAACATGAAAAAAAAAACACCCAACCCATTCCAACAGGGTTGTAGCTAAACCTGGTTCTGAGATTTGGCCTTTGCATGACCTTCTACTCTCTCCTGTCTGGACTCTTTCATTATGAAAGAAATACTCAAGAATTATCAATATAATCAATAATCAAGAAGCTTCTATGTGACATTGACATTTAATAAGAAGCCCGAGGATCTCTTTCCCACTTAACTGCTCTCAACAATTAAATATATTTGCATCAGGGGTAAAAAAAAAAAATGTTGTCCTTGTCACCGTGAGACAGACCTAAATGGAAGCTGCCTGAATTCTCGGATTCCCAGGAAGAGGTCTGCATTTTGAGCTGCTCTGCCTAAATAAAATAATCTTCTGAGAACAAAATGAAGTTCTACTGTCAAATCAATTAGAATTTTCTAAGAAAAATAAGGTAAGGTGTTAAAGTGGGAAGATTTACATTAATCATCTCAGTAAGTCAACAAGCACTTATTAAATCAATGAGCATTTATTAAAGGCCTCTGTATGTGGCCCTTGCCTAGGTGTTATAAAAGGAGAACATCTGCAGCCTGACCTCGAGCAGCTTGCAGTCCTTTATGGAGTCTCTTCTTCCTGACCACTGACCACTGTTTAAAAAACAAAGAAAAAGAAAAAAGAAAAAATACATGACTGAGAAATTCCCTGCTTTCATTAGAGCCCTGTGTTTACTCTCCAGTATGGAGTCTTTGATGTCTGATGAAGGCTGAACTACACCTGAAAGCTTTTCCACACTCCTTACATTCATAAGGTTTCTCTCCAGTATGAGTTCTCTGATGCTGAGTAAGGGATGAGCTCTGGCTGAAGGCTTTCCCACATTCATTACATTCATAGGGTTTCTCTCCAGTATGAATGACATGATGTCTAATGAGGGCTGAGCTATCACTGAAGGCTTTTCCACATTCATTACATTCATAGGGTTTCTCTCCAGTATGAATATTCTGATGGATTATGAGGTTTGTACTCTGGCTGAAGTCTTTCCCACATTCATTACACTTATAAGGTTTCTCTCCAGAATGAATTCTCTGATGGTTTGTGAGATTTGCACTCTGACTGAAGGCTTTCCCACATTCATTACATTTATAGGGTTTCTCTCCAGTATGAATTCTCTGATGCTGAATAAAGGCGGCACAATAACCAAAGGATTTTCCACACTGAATACATTTATAGGGTTTTTCTCCAGTATGAGTTCTTTGATGGTTTGTGAGATTTGCACTGTGACGGAAGGCTTTTCCACATTCATTACATTCATAAGGTTTCTCTCCAGTATGAATTCTCTGATGTTGAATAAGGGCTGAGCAGTCACCAAAGGCTCTCTCACATTCATTACATTTATAGGGTTTCTCTCCAGTATGAGTTCTCTGATGTTTGGTGAGGTTTGCATTCTGACTGAAAGCTTTTCCACATTCGTTACATTTATAGGGTTTCTCTCCAGTATGAATTCTCTGGTGCTGAACAAGGGATGAGCTCTGGCTGAAGGCTTTCCCACATTCATTACATTCATATGGTTTCTCTCCAGTATGACTTTTCTGATGCTGAGAAAGGGATGAGCAGTAACTGAAGCCTTTTCCACAATCATTACAAGTATAGGGTTTTTCTTCAGCATGTATCTTATGATGTTTAAGTAGGTCTGAATTCTTTCTACGTATACTACATTTAAGGAGGCTTTTTCCTACACGAACTCTCTGTTGTGTAACAAGGACTGACCTCAGGCCAAAGTTCCTCCCAAGTTCACTACCTTCAAGACCTCTCTCTCCAGGGGAAGGTTTCTTGTGAATGATTTTTACTTTCCTTGAATCTCTCTCTTGGTTTTCCTGCTGCCTCTCTAGTCTGCCATCACATTCCCACGTCTCTTGATATGTGGGGTCCTCTGGACCAATTTTTGGTAGTGTTTCCATTATTGCTTCTTTGGGTGCAGTTGAGTTATCTTCAAAAATGTCAGGATTTGGAGGTGATTCTTTGGACTCTGGTACAGTATCCCAGTCTGAAAGAAACAAACAAAAAAATGCAAATACCTCTTGGAAGAGAGTAGATTATGGTAATGGGAATGTTGATTAGCAGTAACAGCATACCCCTACAATTATATAAGCCTTCTATACACACTTAGAGAGGAAATTTAGAAGGAAACACAGACAAGCAGGACAGCTTTGAAACTAACATACTGAATTTATTATACATGTTTCAAAAAAGCAAGCTGTACATAATAGAGATAAACATTTTCAAATATAATCCTCTTTTTATGTTTTACTTTGTACTGTACATGGAAATATTTTTTGGTGTTCATTAAATCAGAATTAGAAAAATTTTTTAGGGGCAGCTAAATGGCATAGTGGATAGAGCACCAGCCCTGGAGTCAGGAGGACCTGAGTTCAAATCCAGCCTCAGACACATAACACTTACTAGCTGTGTGACTCTGGGCAAGTCACTTAACCCCAGATGCCTCACATATACACACACACACACACACACAAAATTTTTTTTTAAAGAATCTTAACATAGAATAGATCACAGATAATCAGAGCTAGAAGAGACTTTTGACATTAGCTATTCAATTAAATTCAGCAAGCATTTATTAAGTACCCACTATATGTAAGACAATATGCTAGGCTCTAAGGATACAAATACAAAATCAGTCCCTGACTTCTAGAAGTTTATACTCTATTGGCAGGATATAGCACAAACACTGATAAGCAAATATAAAGTATGGACAAAATAAACACAAAGTAGCTTCAGGCAGGGGTCAGCACTAACAACTTGAGGTAAGAACAAAGGTCCTAGGGAAGAGGTGGCACTTAAACTAAACCTTGAAGGAATATGGAGATTCCAAGAAGCAGAGATGAGGAGGGAGAAGATTCCAGCCCTAGGGAAACATGTAGGAGATATAATGTTGTATCTCAAAATCAACATGTCTAAAATGAAACTCATTCTCTTTCCCCCTAAACTTGTGCCTCCTCCTAACTTCCCTGCTTAGGCTGAGAGTGCCACTATCCTTCCGATGATTTACGTTTGCAGCTGTGACTCTTCATTCTCTCATTTCTCGTATCTAAGCAGCTGCCAACTCTTGCCAATTCTAGCTGTACTAATATCTCTTGAATTTGTTCTCATTTCTCTGCTGAAATGGCAGCTACTCTAGTTAAGAGTCTCATCTTCTGGTACCTGGACTATTATAATAGCTTCCTAATTGGCCTCCCTGTTTCCAAACTCTCCCCTCTCGAATCCATCTTTGCACAGTTGTCAAAATAAATCTTAAGGTAAAGGACTGAGCACGTCACTCCCCTGTTAAATCAACAGGAGAGTTTCTGTAGAATAAAATATAAACTCCTGTTTGACATTTAAAGTCCTTCACAATCTGGCTCCAGCCCTACCTCTCCAGATTTATTTCTCATTACTCTCCCCTCAATCTATTCCAGCCTACCTAGCCCACTTGCTGCTGTCTGTCCCACAAACACTCCATGTCAGATCTCTAACTTGACATAGGCCCTCTTCCATGCTCAGAAGGCACTTTCTTCTTACCTTTGCCTAGTTTCCTAGGTTCCTTTAGGTTTAGCTCAGGTGCCATCTTTCCTGATCTCATGTCCTGCCCCATACCCCCAATGAGTTCTCAGAGCTTTCCTCTTCCTGAAATTACTTTGTATTTACTTTTCTGTAGACATAGATTCTCCTAGTGGAAAGTAAGCTCTTTGAAGGCAGGGGCTCTTTTGTTTTTCATTGCATTCTCAGCACCTAACGTTGTACCTTGCACACATTAGACACTTAAGTGGAAGTGACTTGAATTAAGAATGAACAAGCTCTTTAAAGCAGTGAATTTAGAAAGAGAAAAAGAAGAGAAGTAAAATCAGCCTTGAATGACTCCCATTTAAAAAGCAAAAGGATTAAGAAGTACAGGAAACAGAAAGGAGTGGTCACAGAGCTATGAAAAGAACCAATGCAGTATAATGTCAAACAAACCAAGGAAGGTACAAGTTTAAGACGTACAGGCAGACATCAACTTCAGTGAAAAGGTCAAGGGGAATAGAGATTTTTTTAATTGTTTATTTTAAATATTCTTTTTTTTTTTTAATTTTGAGTTTCAGGTTCTTTCCCTACCTCCCACCTTTCCCCCACCCAATGAGAAGGCAAACAATATATCAATTATACATGTGAAATCATGCAAAACATATGCTCTGTTCATTTTCAGTGATTCCCTTATTCTCTTACTTACCTGAACAGGTGCTTCCTGGGTCTTCTTTCCTGGGCATCCATGAGTCTTCTCCTTCCTCCAACTCAGAGTTCACATCAGGTTTAGAAACTGGAAGCCCTGCTCATAGGGGAAGAGATGGGACTTGAATATTTGAAAGAGGATATAATATGAAGAATCTTAGAAACACACTGTGAAAAAGAGACAAGTCAGGAAATTATTCTTAGTTTATAGAGAAAATTATCTAATTTACTCACCTGAGATCTTAGGGAATTAAGCCTAGAAGGGAAAGAGGGGTGGGGGGGGGAGGGAGGAAAAGAAGAACAGAAAGACAATGGATAGAGAAAAGTACAGGTGTCAAGTCCATCACAATGGTGTTTCCCTGGGAACAGGGAATAGAAACAATTTGTCCTCAGGCCCCAGGAAGTTTAGGTATTTATGACCCATGAACCCTAAGCCAAAAATTAATTACATATTTCAGATGATACTTCAGATTTTAAGAACTGGAGAGCCAAAGACGCACTAAGAGGCAGCTGTTCTTACCCAGCAAAACCAGGTTCCTGTACTTCTCCAACATCAGGTCCTTGTATAGGTCTTTCTGAGGAAGGTCTAGTTGCCCCCACTCCTCCTGGGTGAAGTCCATGACCACATCTTTAAATGCCACAGATTCCTGAAACACCAAAATGTTTCCATTCACTCAAGGCCCCCACTCCCACATGGCCCTAGAAAAAGGGCTAAAGTGTATAGAATTAAGTGAGGTAAACCATATGCTATGGAAATAGTTCCCAATGATGTTGATATGTTAGGTGTTCCAAGTCAAGCATTTATTGAGCACTATATCCACCTATGACAACTAGGCTCTCTCTGTGATAAAAAAGAATTATGAAACAATTTTCTCTCTTCTTGAGCTAACAATTTTGCTAAGAAGAAAATAATAAGAGTAGCTAGCATTTATACAGCACTCTAAGTTTCACAAAGCACATTACATTTGTTAACTCATTTAGTCCTGAAGACAGAACTGGTTGGGAGCACTGCACTAGGACTTACACAAACTGGGTCCAAGTCCCAGCTCTTACATTTCCTCTGCCAGCAGCGATGCCACCTTTAGCCAATTACTTAAGCTCTCATCTTCAGATTCCTCATCTCTGAAATAAGGGCAGTGAATACCTGAGATCCGTATGGATTTGGACAATCCACGTAACCATCCTGGATCTCAGCTTCCTTACCTGCAAAATGAAATCACTGAGCAGTTGGCATCTAGGTGATGATTGAGGTGAATTCTAAAGACCCTGCTAGCTTTTATAAACTATGATTTCTACAACTAGGCACAATGTATTGATGTTTAGAGATGCAGATTCCAGCTTGATATAGAAAAAACTTCTTAACAGTTAGAGCTATCCAAGAGTTGAAGAAGGATTTTAAAAACTAGTGAGTTCCCTATCATTAGAGGTCTTCAAGCAGAGAGTGATATTTAGGGGAATTACAGAGAGGAATTTCCTATTCAGCTATGGGTTGAACTGGATGACTTCTGAGGTTCCTTCCAAGTCTGAAATCATAAGATTCATATTTTAGGAAATATGTACAAAGCACTGGGATAGGCACTGAAAGAGATAATTAAAGCAAGGTCTCTTCCCTCAATTCAATAAACATCTGTTAAAGGACCTTTGTGTGCAGGACACTGTGCTAGGTGGTAGAAGAGGTTCAGCAACTTACTGTTGAGTAGGAGGTTATAACCCACATACAAATAACTATAGCACATAAGAAAGGTGTGAAGCTAGAGGGAAAGGTCATTGCCAGTGGAAAAAGGGGAGATGATAGAAGTTTTAATGAGAGGCTCTAACATGCAAATTGGGCTCCAAAGTATAGGTAGTTTAATAGCTTCAGGCAGAAGGAACAGTGTAAGCAAAGGACAGGGGCAGGAAAGGCAAAGGACACAAAATGAGTATAGTCTGGCTGAGCACAGGGCACATGGAAGGGAATCATTTGAGATACTTCCCTAGAGACAAGAAGAACCTTGTGCCAAGCAGAGGGGCCTAAACCTCATTCAGGAAACACTTGACAACATGTTCTATAAGGGTCTGGGTAGAGAAGAAATACAGCCAAACTGACACATGGGTGACACCAGTGTGAAGTATGGTTGGGGGAAAGAATGAATAGGAATAAGAACAAGGAGATGCGCAATAAGAACAAGGAGATGCGGCAATACTCAGGAAGACATCAGTGAGGACCTATATGAGGGCAGTAGTGCTATAAGGAAAGGAGGGAGAGGGAAGACCAAGATGTCTCCATCACTGAGATGAATTGAAGAAGGAGAAGGAGTCAAAGACAATCCCAAGAAAGACTGGAGAATGGTGGTGCCACTGAAAGAAATCATAAACTCAGGAGAAGCAGATTTTTGAGGGAAAAGATGAAAAGTTCACCCTTAGACATGATGAATTTGAGGTACACGAACACAACCCCTAATGGCTGAAGGAAAAGCAGACAACTTTACCAACAACTTACCAAGGGTACTTAATCTTTTGTGTGCCATAAAAGCCTTGGGGAGTATGGTAAAACCTGAAGATCCCTACTACATATTGTTACCTACGTTCATAATTGAAAGAAATACTAAATTTCTGTTAGAAGTTAGTGAAAATAAAGATTTTTTTTCCCATTTTTTTCTCTTCCCCAATAAAGATTTCTTTATCACCCACAGAGCCCCTGAAATCTACCCACAGACTCCTCTGCCCTATGCTAATGACGTAACAGGCCCATACCTTAATATATATTAAGAGCAAAAGAGAGGTAGCTTTGACATCAATTGTTGTTCTTAGTAAACCCGTGCTAGATCGTAAACTTTGGCACTGTCTTGAAACCAAACTGATTTCACTGATTTAAACCTTATGGTGTCTAACACTGAGTCCTTCAGTGCTTCTCAGCACCATCTAGGCTCAGTCTCTCTATGACTGGTGGGTGATCTCTTCCCTTCAGTGTCTGCTCAGCTAATTCTCCATCATCTCTTTTCTCGTCACCAGGGAATCCAACTAAGAGAAAGTAGCAATGAACAGAACTGACGAAGTGGAACAAAAAAAAAACAGGAAGAAAAGGTATTCAAAGTAAAATAAAAATAAGATCAGAAAATAACTGGACAAAGATCTGAAAACAACGTAGGACAAACAGAGAGGGAAATGTAGGAAATAAGGAACAACCAGGGTCTGGAGAAATGCATTTCTATTATCTTGTAAATAAAGTTATCAAGGAAAATGAAGTTGTTCTTGAAAGAATGAGTACTTCAAAGAAACAGAAGGAAAGGGATATAAAGAGGGAAAGGAGGTGAACTGTTAGGAGGCTAGAGAGTGAAATAATGCAATAGAGAGAAAGAAGGAAAGAAAAACCAATGGACATCTGGAGTTACGTGACAGGTGTGGGCTCTGCCTACAGAAAGGAGAGCTGGACCACTGCTAGAAGAAAGAACGTCGTCATGTGTCCCAGGAGATGGTAACATAGATCCACAGGTACATCAGATAAGAAGTCATTCAATACTGGTCAGAGAAAGATGAGAAGAACTTGTGATGGTTGAAAAGGCATCAAGTAAGCTATCTGTCAAGCTGATATAAGCAATAGAAAGCTCTGCTGTCCTCCCAGGATATTTATGTAGGATGTGCCTCCCAAGAAATTTCCAACTTGATGGGCAGTACACATTTCTGGTGATTAACATAAGAACTAATTACACTCCCAAAAGGAACTAAGAAAGCGTGGCTCAGGATTATGTAGTCCTGAGCAAAAAAACTAAATACATTAGAAGCACAGGTAGTATTTTTATCTCTACTTCTGACTGAAAGTAGAAGACTTTTTTGGGATGGGGGTGGGGGGACAGGTCCATGCCTGTGATTTCTTCAGTGTAGGAAACATCCAATATAGAAGCTTCTTCTATCAATCAATCAACCAGCACTTATTAAACATCCATTATGTGCCAGACACTGTGCTAGGTACTGGAGCTACAAAAACAAAAATGAAACAGTCTCCACCCTCAAGGAGCTTATATTATTTTAGAGATAATAATATATGTGAAAGTATAGATAAAATATTTAAAATAAACACAAGGTAATTTGGGATGAAAAGAAGAGAACACTGAGGAGATCAGGAACGGCTTCATGTAGACATGTAAAAGATGCTATTGGAGCAGAATTTAAAGGAAACAGATTCTAAGAGGCTGAGGTGCGGTAGGATTGCATTGCAGGCATGGAAGACAGCAAATTCAAAATATCAGCAACTAATTTTTAAGTTATAGTTTTAGACCATTGTCTGAACAATGGGAAGTTAAATGATTTGCCCATGATCACATAAACAGTATGTACCTGAAGCAGGACTTGAATCTTGGTTTTCCTGTCTTTAGGCTCTATCAACTACACCTTTACTTAAATGGACCATTCCACAGAACTCTACATAAAAAGATTTTTATGTAATGTGAATTTGCCTGTAGATGTTTCGCAGAGAAGCAGAAAGCGGGCCTCGAGTTTGTGGTGAGAGACATGTCGAAGCATAGGTGAAGAAAGAGGAGGAAGAACATTTGGGGGCTGGGGCCAGCCACATGGGGGCCTGACCAGAATGAAGAGGAAGAACATTCAGGGGGCAGACATGTAAGGCTGGGCATGGACATAACAAGAGAGGATGGGTGACCCTCAGGGGCCAGAGACAGATAAGTGGCACCTGGGGACAGACAGACAGAAGACAGACATGCTGTGCCCAACATGTGGGTGAGTAGGTATGTCCTTTCTTTTGCTTCACTTGGAGAATTTTTGGGTTTTTTAGGTCTTTTTTGGTGGGAGTGGAGGGTGGGAGGCCACAAGCTCTGAGCCAAGTGGCAGGAGCAGAGAGCATAGTACTGTCCAGTAAAATTAACATAGGTTTTTTTGGGGAATGAAAATTTCTTTCAAAATTCAGTTATGTGGTACAGTGGACAGAGCTCTAAACTTGGAATCAGGAAGACTCATCTTCATGACACTTACTAGATGTATGACCCTGGGCAAGTCACTTAACCCTGTTTGCCTCAGTTTTCTCATCTGTAAAATGAGCTGGAGAAAGAAATGGCAAATCACTCCAGTACCTTTGTCAAGAAAATCCCAAAAGGTGTCACAAAGAGTTGGGCACCACTGAAAACTAAACAACAATTACATTATTTCAAAAATTCAAATTTGCATAATTCAAGAACTGTTTGTATACCATGATTCCTTTCAATCTTAGGCAACATTAATAGAGGCAATGTATCCAAAATGAAGTAGGCAATAGTAAACGATTTTATCTGATCAAACACCTGGAGTACTGTATTCAGTTTGGGGCAACACAGTTTATTAATAACAATAAGAGCTAGTATTTATAGCGTTTTAAGATTTGCAAAGCGATCTTACAAATGTCCTCATTTCTCAGACTTCTGACTCCACCATGCCCCAGGAAGCTCATTAGTGAACAATCTCATCAACCTATAAGATCCATTAGCCTGGGTAAACCTCATCACCACCCTCTGTCTCACTGATTTGAGGGTGGGGCCACGAGTTTAACTTGGATATCTCCTCATTTCTTACCTGGCTGCGATACTCTGGGACTCTTCTGACTTCACCATGCCCATGTTGGGTCCCTTCTTCCTCTTCCCCCCTCCACTTTTCAGCCTTTTGGGTGTCGTCTTCCACCATTAGCTTGTAAGCTCCTTTAGGCCAGGGATTCTGTTTGCACTTAATATAGTGCCAGGGCCACAGCATGCACTTAATGTTTATTGACTATATATTTATCTTCAAAACAACCCTGAAAGGCAGGTGCTATTATTATCCCCACTTTACAGAGGAGAAAACTGAGGCAGAGAGAGGTTAAGTGACTTGTCATGTGGCTAGTAAGTGTTTGAGGATGGATTTGAACTTGGGTCTTCCTGACTCCCAGTTCCAGTTCTCTATTCACTGTGCCAGCTACCTGGCTTTTACTTACGGTATAAACCTTTCAGAACCATATTCTATTGATGGATTTCATTCCACCAAGTCTCAGTGATTATCTATGAGGTCAAATTTACCTTCGTGCATAAATATTTCTAGTTCATGTTGACTATTAATTATACTTGTGGATTGTTTAGGTTTTTGACATGAAAAGTAACTGCATGTCATAATCTGGATAATCTTTTCCGTCATAATCTTTTTCCACTTGGTCTTTCTTATGTGGATAGTCAGGACAATTCTTTTGAGGTGTTGCAGACCTCTTCCAGAAGACTCTGCAGTGTTCCAAATACCCAACCTTATTTCCCATCCATTCTCCAAAAGGAAACATCAGCTCCAGTCAAGTATACTCTGTTTTACAGAGACTACATGCTTTCTTTTGCCTCTAGTCTTTTGCTCAGGCTATTCCTAACCAGTTTCCACCCTCCTTACTAAAAAAAAAAAAATCCTACCCATTTATCAAGGCATGGTTCAAAATCCATCTCTTCCATGAAGCCTCCCAATGATATTAACTGGAATTATAAATCATGGTAAGTTAAAAAGATCTGAGTGGGACCTTAGAGGTCACTTAATCCAATCCCTTCATTTTTGCAGATGAGTAACTAGAGGCTCTAAGAGGTGAAATCACTTGCCTGAGATCACATGGTAAGGATATAGTAAAGCCAAGACTCAAACCCAGGTCTCCTGACTACCAGGTCTAGGCCTCTTCCACAATGATCTAAATATTTAGACTCATATCTACAGCAATGGAAGGGACATCAGAGATGCAGTCCAACCACCTATTTTTAGGGATGAGGAGAGTGGAGTTTCAGGTGTTAACTTAGAAACAAAACTAAGATTCAACTCCACATCTTTTGACTCCAAATCTAGTGCTCTTTCTATTACACCATGCCATCACACCAATTAAATGCTTCATTCATGTATGTCTTGATTCCTCTACTTAAGCTTGAGGTAAAAATTATGTTATACATCTTATATTCCTCACAGAAGTTACCTAAACATAGTCTGAATAAATTCAGTCTGAATAAATATGTGAAGAATAAGAAGGTTATATGCAAATAAGAGGAATGCTGGGCCAATGGGAATATTCCCTATGGAATTCACTGCCTATCAGGATTGGCTCAATCTGCAAGAAGGAAAGAGGGCTTCAAGCTCAGGTAACTAAGTGAAACTTTGCTAGGCAAGAGAATCTCTAGGATCAGAGAAGGAACTCTGTCGAAAATGAGAAAACGTATTCCAACATACCTGGGACCTGGCTGACAAGAGCACGCCAGTAATACCCTCATCTCCTAGTTTCCCTTCTTCAGAATGGACAGAGTCCTGAGAATACAGAGCTGGAAGAGAAAGCAATCATGAAGAAGGCCAGCGCTGCAGCTCTCAGTCTCACCAGATTAGAAATTCTCATGTTTTTACTGCAAAGAGAGAATTCAAATGAAACAGAAGTAAGCCCGGTCTAGATAAAAAGGCCACAGATTTTAAGCCAGCTAGCAAATGCCTCAATCTGTTATTATGATCACAGGGAAATCATATGATTCCAAGGGAACAAAGCTGACGAGGGAACTGAGAATTTTGCAACTTTGTTCCCTAAACATAGTCTAAGGATCAGACTGTAACAATACCCAGTGTTATCAGCAAATCACCTAAAGTCAAGGAAGAATGGTCCCTGCCTAATTTTCTGCATCACTGCACAGGGCAAAGCCAAGAGGGAAGAAAGTAATACCAGGAAGGCCAAGTCCTGCCCCAGATACTCATTCTCAGAGTCTACCACACCCCGGGGCAAGGCAGATGGGAGGAAAGGAAGTCATTTCTTCTTCTCTTCTTCTCCTTACCGGAGGAGGGCGAGGAGGGTGAAGGGGGGGTGGGGGTGGGTCTGTTATTACTCCATCCCCCCAGGCACTGAGCCGTCACACCCGAGGCTGCTGTAACTCTCACCTTCTTCTTCCAGCATGGGGGTGGATGCGCTAGGTCGCTGCCTCCCGGACGGCCCGGACGGCCCCGACTTCTCGGAGCAGGAGGGTCCGCAGCTACGGCAGAAAACGCTCTTCTCCGTGATTCTCCCGCACCGAAGAGGGCTCCGGTCAACGACCTGGGATCAAAGGATATGGATGGCCGAAGGGTCCTCGGGCATCGGGTCATCCCTTATCTTAGGGATCCATCATCCGAGGGTCAAACGAAGCCAGGGACCAGCCCAAGGTCACCCGGCCAGAAGGGGGAGGGGGAAGGACTAGAATCCAGGTCAGTTGGGTTTGCAAACGCAGCGCGCTTTGCTTGTGCCCCTCCAGGCCCGTGGGGCAGCTCCGGGGAGCGGGGGCCCCCACGGGCCTTGGCTCTGCAGACACCACGGGGCCGCGGCTGCGGGGAGGGCGGGCCGAACCGGCGCTGGGGGTCTGAAGGGCCCTCGTGACGCCCCTCCCAGCCTGGGAGGGGCGCTGCTCCCCCCACGCCCCCCACGAGCGCGGGGCCAGTGGGCGAGAGTCAGAGCAGCGGTGGAGTGAGCGCGAGACCCCGCTGGGGCACTTCCGGTCATGCGCAGAACCCCTCGCCCAGCCCCCCCACCCTGTGTGCCTCTCCAGGGGTCCCCACGGCCAGCGCGCTCTGTCTCCGGGATCAATATAAGTCAATTCATCAGTAGATCTATCGATGGATATGGATACATCCATAAATGCATACTTACGTACACACCTATACATATACACATGTGTACATGTATATGCATATTTTGTTGTTTTCAGTAATGTCTGACACTTCCTGACCCTATTTGGGATTTTCTTGGCAAAGATGCTGGAGTGTTTTGCCATTTCTTTCTCCAGCTCATTTTACAGATGAGGAAACTGAGGCAAACAGGGTTAAGTGATTTGCCCAGGATCACACAGCTAATTAAGTGTCTGAGGCCAGATTTTGAACTCAGGAAGTCTCCTGGCCCAGTGCTCTATACACTGTACAATCTAGTTGCGTGCAGGTATACACGCATAAACATATATACACACAATACACACATGCACAAATATGCATATACACAACACGTTCAGTTGTGTCTGACTCTTCACAACCCCATGAACCATAGCACTGCCAGGCCCTTCTATCCTCCACTATTTCTTGAAGTCTGTACAAGTTTATGGTTGTTGTTTCCATGACGGTATCTAACCACCTCATCCTTTGTCATCCCTTCCTCTTTTTGCCTTCACTCTTTCCCAACACGAGGGTCTTTTCCGGTTGAGTCCTGTCTTCTCATTATGTGGCCAAAATATTTAAGCTTCAGCTTCAGTATTTGACCTTCCAAACAGCCTGAATTAATTTCTTTAAGTGTTGACTGATTTGATGTCCTTGTTGTCCAAGGGACTTCCAAAACTCTTCTCTGGCACCACAACTGAAAAGTGTCGATTCTGCAGTACTCAGTTTTCCTCATAGTCCAACTGTCACAGCCATACATTGCTACTGAAAACACCATAGCTTTGATTGTATGAATCTTTGTCACCAAGGTGATGTCTCTGCTTTTTAGTATGCATCCAGATTGACTGTAGCTTTCCTTCTAATTTCCTGGCTACAGTTACTGTCTGTTATGATCTTTAACCCCAAGAATATAAAATCTGACACTGCTTCCATTTCTTCTCCTATTTGCCAAGAAGTGATGGGACCTGTTGCCAAGATCTTAGTTTTCTTTTTTAATTTTTTTTTTTATAATTAAGCTTCAAGCCAGCTTTTACATTCTCCTCTTTCACCCTCATCAAGAGGCTTTTTAATTCTTCTTCACTTTCTGCTATCAGTGTTATCATCTGCATATCTGAGATTGTTACATACTCTCCATACATAGATGGATACATATATTTATACAATATATGCATATACACATAATATATATACATTGGTATAATCTATTTATACACACATGTGCATATACACAACATACACATATGCATACATGCATGCACACTCATAATATATGAATTTATATATACACCATGTGCATGTATATACATATTTACATACATGCAAATGCACATAATTTATACATGCATACATATGTATGATTATTGGTACAATATTTGCAATACATATATACATGCCCAGAGTATACAAATGCATACATATATTTATTTATATGTACATGCACAATACACATATATACAACATATGTGTGCATTTGGTACAATATGCATATATAATTTGCACGTGTATATACAAAATATATCGACAGAAAATACAAGGAGGGGCTGTATAGCTGCTGGGGGAGTGGGAGAGAAGGAATCAAGAAAGACCCATGTGGGAGGTGGCTTGGAGCTAGGCTTTCTTTGAAGAAACCAGGCATTCTAAGAGGCAGAGGGAGGAGTGGAAGAAATATATCCCAAGTTTATCAAGACTTTCCATGCAGTTACCAAGCTCACTCTTGCAAGCAGCCTCAGATGTGTGCCTGGGTGGACTTCATTCACCAGAATTCCTGTGTCCAGACTTCATCTCCCAGAATCCTGTTGTTCCTTTCACTTGTCAAATTTGAAATGCTCCTTTCCCCAATAGCTGAGGCTTTTGGAAGTTGTAGTTCTGAGTCTCTCCTTTAGAGCAGATACACATGTTTGGGGCATGAGTCAAATTCCTTTCGAGCCCAGTCTGGGGTCCCAGGGACCTGCCAAAGATTGACTCTGCCCCTGGCAAACTTGCTAGGTATCTGATCAGGGATTATCTCCTCCATGGTAAAACTCCCACAGGGCAGCTAGGTGGCGAAGTGGATAGAGCATCAGCCCTGAAGTCAGGAGGACCTGAGTTCAAATTCTGCCTCAGACCAAACACTTGACACTTACTTGCTGTGTGACCCTGGGCAAGTCACTTAATCGCAGCTGCCTAAAAACAAAACAAAAATAACCCTCCTACCACTTGAGTTTGTGGATGATGGAATTTGGCAGTTATCTAAATCTTCCTACCTACCTGGGATGCTTCGTTCTTTCCCCTGAAAGCCTTTGCTACCTCCCCACCCCAAATACTTCCTTCTGCCGTTTGAATATTACTCTCTTTCCTTCCTCCACTAGTCGCACTGTTGACTGATCAATCTGTCATTCTCAAAAGCCCATCTCTCAGGGTAGTGCAGTAGGGAAAAAATGCTGTATTTGATCAGAGAATTTGGGTTCAAATGATGGTTCTGTCACTTTTTACTTGTATAATCTTTCTGAGCATCACTTTCCACATCTAAGAGATGAGGAGATTGGACTAGATGACCTTCATGGAATCGCTGATGTAAAAATTGGGTAATGACAATTGGTCTTTCTCTGGGTATTAAAAGGTACCCCATAGGACCAACTAGAAGGAAGTTGTGCAAGAGCAAGCTTTAAAGAAGAGCAAACTTTAAGTAAACTGGGGCAGGTTGGCCACAGGGTTCACAGATTGAGGGAATTTAGGAGACACAGTTAAGACAAAAGGGTCAGAGAGATTTCTTTTATGGAGCCACATTTAAATGGTTCCCCAGGAGAGGCATCACCCCTTGGATGTCAAGGCATAGGTTTCCTGCTAGTCACATTAGGTGAATAATAAGATGGATGTATACAAAAGCTTCTTGAGTTTGTATTAATCCTCCTCATTCTTCAAAACCTAGCTCAAATCCCACTTTTCCCATGAAGTTTTCCAGTTAAAAGGCTGGGAACCACTGAATCCATTTCTATCAAAGGCTTTTTGTTTGTTTGTTTGAACTTATAAACCAGGAGTCTGGAAGGGGCTTTAAAGGAAAATATTATTTCTTAATATTTTAAATTTTATTAAGAAGGAGGTTTTAAAATGTGCTTCTACACTAGTTCTGGGTTATATCATCACCATACATTGTTTTCTGCCTCATGTGGAATTCATTATCTTCTACCCTAAACCCATTTCTAAGACCCACCCTATTTCTGAGTCACCATAGCTCTCAAGTCCATAATCTTGGAGTTATCATTGATTCTACTCTCTCTTTCACCACACTCCACCCCCTCCCCACCAATATCTAGTCAACTGGCAAATCCTGTTGAGTCTGTCACCATAATATCCGTCAATTCTGTCCACTTTCTCTTTGCCTTCCATCCTAATTCAGGCGTTTATCAACTCTCAGCAGAACTACTGTAATAGCCTCCTAATTAGTTTTCCCTGCTTCTAATCTCTTTTTCTTTCCAATAAATCCTTCACACAGCTCTCAGCACACAGATTTGAACACATCACTCTCCATCCCCCACTTCTCATCCCATCTTTAGAAAACCCTAAATGGTTCCCTACTGCCTCTAGGATAAAATACAAACTTCTCAGCCTGGCATTTAAACATTTCCATGATCTGGCTCCAACTTAACCTTTCCAGACTTGGCTCTTATTACTTCACACTTCATGAAATCATAATTCCATTCATCTGTACAAGCCATTTCTTCTACTTAGAATGTGCTTCTTTTTCATTCCTGCCTTTCAGAATCTTTATATCCCTTCAAGAGTTACTCAGAAAATAACTTCCTAATTGGTCAAATGACTTCCAATCTCCCTTCTCCAATTCATTCCTCAGCGCCATACCTTTTCCATGAAGCCTTCTTAGTTTCCCTTTGTTAGTGTTCTGTCCTCAATTTAACTTGTATTTACTTATCTGGATATGTCCAGTGTTAGCCCCTTGAGGACAGGGACTGCTTCATTTTTTTTTTTTTGTTCTGCCTTGTATCTCCAGCCCTCAGCCTAGTACCTTGCGAACTTTAGTAAAATGTCCTACTGAATGTGTGTATTAAGCCTTGAAGACTAGACTGCAGTTTCAAATAGCAATATATCTACATGTGCTTTACATTTTATAAAGAGCTCTCAAGTACACAATTCTACCAAAAAAGAAGATACCTATGGCGTAGTAGATAATGAATACCTGTTGAATATAATTGATTCAGGTGTGCATTAGGGAGAATCAATTGTGGTAATCATTTTGAGGGAGATTTCTGTAAGCCAGTTTGATCTGAAAGTAGATGAGATAAAGGAATAGCAGTCAAAAAAGAAAAAGATTATGCATATACTACCATGTCCTGGGGGCAGCAGTGGTCCTGTAAGAAGGGTCTTT